AAGTACCAATCATTAAAGCAAATTTGTGACGCTGTTTGCTAGTTTTGCTTAAGCAGCATAAAACGGTTTTGCGACTATGCTACTGCCAGAAGATTCCTTCCAAATGGCAAATCTACACATGCAAATATTGACTCAGACCTCAGTCTCAAAATGAAAGATTTCTGTGCTTAAAAAATTTTTTACCATACTGATGTGGCTGGTCTATTTTGGTTAACAACACTTTGTAGCACAGTTTATGTGCTGAACTGAAGGTGGAGTATATGGGCACGAGGATACAGAGAACAAGGACCTCAGGTGTATATTTAAAAGCTGAAAGTCTGCCAAAGAAGTCAGATCTTGTGCAGTTTACAGTCCTACACAGATGCAGAGAGAGGTCCCAGTTGATCAGATCTCCATGCTGTAGAGGCTGAATACTCTCAATCCAAGTTCTTTCAGATATTACACATGAGGAGAGTTTAATGTTTAATCCCAAATTTTCTTATTGAGCATACTTGACATTACATTGGATTTTGAATTAGCAGAGGGATACAGCAGTGTACTGAAATTGCATCACAAGCGTAATAAAGCATTTGCGATATACGGTTGAATCACAGTAGAAATGTGATTCTCATTATAGTCTCTATATGCTCGATATCAATGCTTGGCCTCAGTCCCTGTGAAGAAATATATTGATTGAAACCATCTCAAGCCCATTACTCCCTTCAAACTTTTCCGTTTTGTCCAGTTTTTTTAATTTGTGTTGGACTGAGCCACATATACATGGCCCACCCTCCCTACCCCATATTTTAGTCTGGTTTGCTCAGAAAGATGTCAGTCTGAGGGAACCTGATGATTCACTGGTGCAGCTGTCTTGTCAAAAACCATGGTAACCCTTCAGTCTCCCTGGTGTTAAGATACATGCAGTTTTTCTTTACAATACATTATTTTTCTTTACAGAACATTATTCCTCCAGCTCATTGTCATTTTGCCCTTCTCCTGTGGGTGTGTGCTGGTCTGTCAAAAGTGCCCACGTTTTTAGTACGAGGGAAGAATTTATTTCTTTCCTCCAGGTGGTCCAGATGAGATCTACTATGTGTTCAGCTTGGCAGATCACAGGAGCATGCAACAGTGCAAAGCAGGGATCTGTACAACCTGTCTCAGTCATAAATGACAGATTGCAATTCTATTCTTCTTTGAGAATGACAGAGAATATTTTGAAGAGAGAATGAAGCACCAACTGCCAGTGAGTGGAAAAGAAGGAATATGGAAAACACTCCAATACAAAATTCAAAACTACTAGTCTGAAAACTTGAATATGTTTCCAGAATTTTATTCATATATATTCTTAAATTATAATGTATGGCTTTATTTTTTTGTGTAACGTTGATCTAAACTCAAACCTTGAAGCTCTAGTAACGTATAATGAATGATTTTTTTTAAAGTCACTATTAAATTAATAACTGCATATTCTATTTGCCCGTCCTGAGTTTATGAATACAGACACAATACCCTACAAGTACCCTATCTTGAGGCAGAGTTTAGACACATATTAAAAACCATCACATTCATTATCTAGGGGATGCCAAACCAGAGTACAAGCAAGGGATCTGAAAACTTACAGATGGAAACCAAATGATGAGAGCAAAAAACCCATGGGAATACACAGCCAGTGTTCTTAGTACACTAGAGACTTAGCTTTCACCTCTATTTTGCAGAAGTATGTCTTGATTCCATCTCGTGGATTTGATTTTAACTGCTATGGATTGAGGACTGCCACTAGTAAGTATGGGTTGGAAAGCAGAAAGGGAGGGATATTGAAATTTGGTGTTCTGCTGCTAGTATGGCACTACTAAATGAAGAAAAGACAGAATTAGAAAAAAACCCAATTAACCAACAAACCAAAACCCCAAACAAACAAACAAACAAACCCCTCTTCTGGAATTCTTGTTTAGATTAGTTACAGCAGAAGAGGTTTGAATTTCGCTATTGTTTTGTGACCTGACAGTTCAGTATAAACAAGAACTGTAGCCAGCATAATACATTTTTTAAGATCCAAAATCATACTCACTTCATACTCATACTCATATAGATCATATAATCATACTCAGCTCACCTGTTCACTCCTCCCAAGAAGATCTTAGGACTATCCAAAGTCTAAGGAGACTTCACATTATACAGATGCTTTCTTCTGCACCTCTGGAAGAGGAAGCAGTTTCTACAATGTAGGTAGAAGCTGTGAATGGTTCTGCCTGGTGAATGACAGTAGAGTGCAGTGGAGGTTGTTTCATATTGAAAGAGGAGATAAGCAGAGATCCCCATGTTTCTTAATATACCCCTTTTCTGAAGTGATACAGATTAGATAGGGAGAAGACAATTTTTATCTAAATCATAATTGTTGTCTTTGTCTCAAAAAACCCACCCACCCAATTAACAAACCAAAAAACAACCCCAAAAAGCCATAGATTTGATGTTGACCACGCAACCACCTAGGGACAATATTAGAAACAATATTTGAAATGTCAGGATAATGAGCTCCTCTTTTATGCTTTTATTATGGCCTTAGAGAGCAAAACACTTTTTTGGTTTTATGATAGAATGAAATTGTAATTCCATCATTATTAAACAGACTGAGGGAAGCTGTTCTTCCCAGTTTGGTTTCACAATACAGAATCTACTTATTGTATGTTCTAAAATGGTACAGTTTGAAAAAGTACACAGAAATTATATTTGCATTTCATACATAAAATGACAAAAGAAAATAAATAATAAACTTTTTTTTTTCTGGGAAGAAAAAAGGAAACATTCTTTAGATGTTAGTCTAGCAGTTATTCCAGCTCAGGATGTTCTTACAATGTGACATTTTGAACATCCTAAGTCAAAGATTGCTCCTTGCTTTAATAAATAATAATTCAGAATCTCCTTTGTTTAAAGTATAGACTTAGATCCCTTAAAAAAAAAAAAAAAAAAAAAAGAAAAGAAAAACAGGTAAAGAGCCAAATGCATGGTCTTCTGTCAACAGCAGGATATTTTTTTTTTTTTACTAATTAGGGAGCAGAAAGTTAGGTCTACAGGTGTAGTAAAGAACCTTTGGTAAAAAAAACTAAAGAACTACCCCACTGCAGTAACTGGAAAGGTGCAAAACTAGCAGAAGTCATAAAGTAATATAAGTTTAGCGTTATAAAAAAGGATTCTATTCCACTTTCTGGTTAATATGTGCTTAAAGACACAAAGGTACTTACGTAAAAATTGAAGATTTGAGAAATGGGAGGTAGAAATGGAAATAAAGAAACCAATATATTAGATATTGTGGAAAATTTCCTAAAACTGGTAAGAGATCCGAAATCATTAAAAATTCTGTAGAAAATGTTACAGCACTTTGAACACAAATAAACCGAAAGTATCAATGTTCAAAGGCACGAAAATAACGATAATTTAAAGCAATTCAAACCAACCTCAGCTCGTGCAATAAAATAAAATACATACACATATAAAAATGGTTTATACAAGTCTAAGGAGAGAGAAAAAAGCTTCTCAATTGTACGTACGTGTATCTCGCCTGAATTTTTTTGGGGGGGGAGAGGTGTGGTGGTTTGTTTATATTGTAGACTTTGCAGCTCTCTAACAGGTTGCAGCAAACGATGTGTCGTCATCGGTCACGGAGACAGGAAAAGGTGGTGGGAACCCCGCCCCTGCGCTCTGCAGTCCTCAACCAGGTCGGACCGACAGCAATAAACAGGCGCTGGGGCCGAATCTCGCCGCACAGCAGCTGCAACTGAGCGAGGGGCAGCATGTCTGGTAGAGGCAAGGGCGGGAAGGGGCTCGGCAAGGGCGGCGCCAAGCGCCACCGCAAGGTGCTGCGCGACAACATCCAGGGCATCACCAAGCCGGCCATCCGCCGCCTGGCTCGGCGCGGCGGCGTCAAGCGCATCTCGGGGCTCATCTACGAGGAGACGCGCGGCGTGCTGAAGGTCTTCCTGGAGAACGTCATCCGCGACGCCGTCACCTACACCGAGCACGCCAAGAGGAAGACGGTGACGGCCATGGACGTGGTCTACGCCCTCAAGCGCCAGGGACGCACCCTCTACGGCTTCGGCGGCTAAAACCAACCTTTTGCTCCCGGATCACCTCGCGAAACGAACCCAAAGGCTCTTTTAAGAGCCACCCACTTAAACTGAAAAAGAGCTGAGTTGCTTTCAAAGCTGGTAAAAAAATGGTTTTAAACTTTATCTATAAATTTTTCTTAGTTTTTGTCGGTTATTGCTTTGTTAATCATTTTTTAACTAAATATGAATACCATTTTATTGACCCATCTTGCCTAAAGAGGGGAGGGGTCATAGTCGTTCTTTTAATGTAGGTTTAGGACCTTTTTTTTTCAGGTCTCTGTAAAAGCAAAACGAGTAGCAAAGCACTCTAAACTTGAACTCCTGATCCGAGGTGACCTGTTTTAGAGGCATGTCATCTGGTTTTTTAAATTAAATGGTAGAAGTAGATATGTTTACTCTTCAGTTATGTTAATGTCTATTGTACTTTGTGGGACGTATCACGGCTGGTCGCTCCTTAAGCCTCTTAAAAAAATAATACTGGAGTGATCCTATTTGTCCTCTAAAAGTGGCGTGTCCATTTTTCTTTCGTCCATTATTCTTTGCGCGTTCGGTGCACTGAAGTTTAGGAAAGTTTATTCTTTTAATTAAGCGTTTAACAGAGCATAATTTCCAGTTATTTCCTTTTTGAACACTTTCTCCTAAAGGTTTTATTTTCGTGGTAGGCTGTAAAAGTCGTTATAAGAAACAGACCACACTGAAAGCAGAAGCGGCGGGGGGGGGGGGGGGGGGGGGGGGGGAGGGGCCGCGCGCGGGCGGCCGGTTGGTGAGGGCGCGCGCGCGCTTTTCAGGCGGGCTTTTCGAATTTGACAGTATCCAATAAGAGCGGAGGATTCTTGGCAGCCAATCAGGGTGAGGAATGTTCTATAAAAGCCGCCCGCGGGAGCCAAGCCGTTTTACTTTCTCGCTGCGGTGTCAGCGGTGCCTCGTCTCCCGGAGCGATGGCGCGCACGAAGCAGACGGCGCGTAAGTCGACGGGCGGGAAGGCGCCCCGCAAGCAGCTGGCCACCAAGGCGGCCCGCAAGAGCGCGCCGGCCACGGGCGGCGTCAAGAAGCCGCACCGCTACCGGCCCGGCACGGTGGCGCTGCGCGAGATCCGCCGCTACCAGAAGTCGACGGAGCTGCTGATCCGCAAGCTGCCCTTCCAGCGCCTGGTGCGCGAGATCGCGCAGGACTTCAAGACCGACCTGCGCTTCCAGAGCTCGGCCGTCATGGCGCTGCAGGAGGCCAGCGAGGCTTACCTGGTGGGGCTCTTCGAGGACACCAACCTGTGCGCCATCCACGCCAAGCGCGTCACCATCATGCCCAAGGACATCCAGCTCGCCCGCCGCATCCGCGGAGAGCGCGCCTGAGTCTGCGGCCACAGGTTCCGTCTAGATGATCCTGACCATTATTCCCGCACCCTAAAGGCTCTTTTAAGAGCCACTACATTGCACAAGAGAGTTGAAACATGGCTTTTTCATACTTAGTTACAAGTTAGGGGTTCTGAAGTTCTTATTGGTTATTGCAATTCTAATGATAACAGCTTTGTAAACCTTCCTAAGTAGTCACCTTAAACTGCTGTATTGTTTTGAACAGTGTTCAGTGCAGTTTAAGGTGCCTGGAAATGCCCATTTAACTATAGAGAATAAGTAAGCTGCACAAAAACAGTGATGTAGTGATAAAGCAAATAAGAAAAAGCAACACTGCTACAGACAAGTTACACCCATTTTTCCCTGCACCCTTTCCACTCCTGACATACTGCTTCCTGTAAAGTACTATGTTTGCCATAATTTTTGTTGAGTAGAGCAGCCTTTTACTTTTAAGCATTATGGAAGGCATAACCTGAGTTAGTATTGGAAGACAAACTTCGAGTTTCAATCAGCTTTTTATTAACCATTATACACTTATTGGTTTTTTGACTATGATGTACCAAAGAAATTTTAGCTGGATATGTCAGCCCTGCCTCTATCACATGAATAAAACAGTGCTAAGATTATAAGCTTGATGAAAGGAATAAAAAACAATAAATTATTGTCACTTATATTCCTAATTTTTTTTCTGTTGTGACTTTGAGAAAAGGCTGGAGAAAAGGACTAAGGACAGTTTGGAAAAGGCAAAAAGAGAATCTGGTGTTGATTTTTGAGAAGTCATTCTGGTTTTGAAATACCTTGAGAGCACTGGTTCAGGAAAAGTTTTTGTGGCTTTTGCATGGTGCCAAATCAACCAAGGGAAAGGAAGAGGCTGTCAAGCTTTTGCACCTTTGTAACTAACGCAGAAGAGCTGCAGCAAAGAGGTTTATACGATTTTGGTAATTGAAGACAAGGGTTTTATGTTTGATAAGAAGAAAACTGTGTCAGTAGAAGAAAAAAAATCAGGGAATCAGAAGGTCAACACTTAAGAGAATTTTGTTGATTCAATAAAGTTTTGTAGTCAAGAAATTACACTTGGCCTTTAGTTCAGTTTTAGTTGTTCAAGGCTTGTAGACTCTTGCTGTTTTATTGTTTTAGTGAGGTAAGTTTTCTATTAATTCACAAATAAACCATCCAGATTCCTACGGATTTTGCTGCTTTGTTGTCCCAACATCTTTTCCTTTTCCCTTGCTAATGGACTCTGGCCTATCCAATACACTTCTGTAAATGTAACCAGCCAAATTGGTCTGAAATTAAACGTCACGTACTTGAGTATGGCATCTGGGGGAGTCTGTAAAAAGTTTCATATGGTGTGTTTCTGAAACACCGAAAAGGATGTAAACATGGTATATGTAAGAAATATTTATAACAGAGTGATGTAGGTATCAAAGTATATACACGTACATATATGTACATATTCTATACCTGTATACACACCTTTATATGCTCTTTTTTCCCTCAAAAATTTTACTTCTCAAATCCTTCCACCTGTCTCTTTCCCAAACCTCTCTGCCTCAGCAGCACCTGGCTTTTTTTTTTTTTGCAGTTCCAACAATATATGATATTTTGAATGGTAGGAACTACTTCTCAGTTGGAGTAGATGACCATTGTAAGTCTCTTATAGCTGAAACTGTTCTGTTCCATTCATCCCTTTTTACATCACCACTTGCATTGTAAGGTGACAATTTTAGGCCTCTGAAAGCAGCAGTGCTCATGCAAGTATAGCACAGTGACTGTGTCTATAGGTTTAGTTTAAAATAAATTATATTATTATAATTTTAAAATTAACTACTTGTCAGCCTACGCTCTAGGACTTCAATAGGCTCCATGCTGATACGAATTGTTGTTTCACACTGGCAATGTATTATTAGCTGAAATAACTTACCTTTGTAACTAGGCCCTACTGCGAGGTTAGCAAAGGTTAAAATGGCTAAAACCTCAGACCTGATGCAATTAGGCTGGGGTCACTGGTGCCTGCTTGTAGTGCACATGCAGGCTCTGTATCTTCACTGATACTAGACTGTGGAATCTACTCCCAAAAGCAAATGAAGAAATTCTTCATCATGACTGAAAATTAGTTAATATCTTGTCTGTGCTATCAGGTCTTGTATCAGTGCTATCTAGTTAAATTGCTAAAAGGGACTGGGAAAGATTTTACAGTATTAACAAAGTGATACTTATTAGAAATCAGACAGTTTCTTTATTTATTTTTTCTAGTTAGCATTAAATATGCTCTAAGAAAACTGAAGTAGAAGGAATAAGGACTGAGATTATGCTTTTGTTTCTGCATTTGTCTGACTTTTAAGAGCATATGGAACTTTTATGGCCGGTTGAAAGGTTTCCTTCATTCCCCAGACTGTAAGTTAAAATTCTCTTCTTACATCATGCTGCCTAATCAAACAAGGAGAAATGTTTGTCATGCTATACTATACAACTTAAATTCCAAAACCTGCAAATATTTTCTTTCTTATCAGTTAGTCTTCTTTTATTTCCATTCACTTCAAACTCAGAAAAAGTTTTAATTTACATGCTAAGGAATAGAGATGAAATGTATCTTGAAACAGAGGTGAAATATATGATAAAAAAAAGTAAACATACTGTTCAATACAGACTGCACAGCCATTCCATTCAGCACTTGGTAACACTGCAGCTCTGCTTTCATTGCAGCTTGATTCCAAAATAAGGCCATGTCGACCAACAAATTCATTCAGGGGGATTTATGTGGGAGGAAGGAAAAAAGAAGCAGGGAAAAAAAAAAAGAAGACTGAACCCCTGAACAAACCTTAATCTTGTCTGTTTGTTAGACTCAGTGAGTCTTTACACTTTCTTTTCTCATCTACCCGAGTGCCACCTCTGACAGACTGTGTCTATAGTGCAGCATCTCTAAGCAGGCAAATAATGCCCAGAAGCCTCTAATGAAAACAAGTGACAGCTCTGGCTTCTAATAGCAGCCTTCAGCACTCAGGGTTGTTGCACCCCAGGTACCAGATGTGTTTGCAAATGGGGAGAAGACAGGAAGATGTTTCCCAAAATAAGAGGAGAAACATCAACTACGTATGAATCTGTGTTATGAATCCGAGGCCAAATTTTTACTTCCTAATTTAATTCTCAGACTCTTGTTAGACCAATCTTGTCTAAGTAACAATTCGAGCAAAGGTGGGTTCTTGGAAATTTGAAAACTGCATGCATATACATCTATCTTTCCAGATACTCATGAAGAATGCTAAAGAACTGGCTGCAGAAAACTGACAACTCAGCATGTCAGATACTGTGATCACTGCTTGGAGAAGTGCAAGTTCAAAGACAAATACATTTATATCTGTTATTGCAAGAATACATAAGTTTCTGCTCCAAGATTTCTATAAAACTCATTAAAAACACTCTCCTCCCAAAAAAATGCTCAGAAACTACATAACCTTCTTCTGACTGTTTTTATTATTATATGGCAAAAAATCTGGACAAACACAATAAATTATTCCCCTCTACAGTACTTTTTGATCAGTTTCTTGACCTTTTCAGGTACTTTTCTGTGCTGCAGAAAGAAGCCTCAGGTGCCCTGTGTCATCAGCGTGGTAGTCCCTCATTTTGAGACCCTCATTTGGTTCATTGAGGTGGATATTCTTGCTTCTGGCATTAACAGTGGTTTGAACAAGGTGGAAGCCCCCTTTAAGACAATCTGTTTTAGCCAGGTTCAATGGTAACACAGTTCCAATGAGCCACAGGAAGTTTCTGCTCTTGCTTTAACCCAGCCAGCCGCAGACTTTAAGGTGCAGATTTCCTGAGCACAGGGGGCCCTCCCTGGACACAGGTCTGACCCTATCCCCTCCCCACACCCACCACCCTTCCACCTCCCTTCTCCCTCAAAGCTGTGTTAAGTCCAGCATTGTCACAGGGATGTAGACCCCTCCATCCTGCCTCAGGCTGTCTGCTCAACCCTTTCTTAAGTAATATATCGATCTCTCATTTCAACCCTTCGATTTGTCTCCTTCCCCCACCCAGCGTTCATAGAGCACCTGTTACTCCCCTTTAGAATTTGCGAAGTACTGCGGGTGAATTGCAAACCGGGAAATATTAAGCCTTGTGGGGTTTATTAAGGACAATTCCTTATATGCAGGAAGCAGTAAAATAAGATGGGACAGAAATAAGAGCTGCTGGGACCTCAGAACAAGAGCTTCCAGCCTGAAAATAAATGTTAAAACCCTGATCGTTTGAAAACCAACAGCATTACAGCCCTTTTTATTGACTTGTGTAGTGGCTCTTAAAAGAGCCTTTGGGTCTGTGTGAGCTGCCTCTGTGCCTTGCCGGGGAAGGGCTGCGGCAGGAGACTCAGGCGCGCTCTCCGCGGATGCGGCGGGCGAGCTGGATGTCCTTGGGCATGATGGTGACGCGCTTGGCGTGGATGGCGCACAGGTTGGTGTCCTCGAAGAGCCCCACCAGGTAAGCCTCGCTGGCCTCCTGCAGCGCCATGACGGCCGAGCTCTGGAAGCGCAGGTCGGTCTTGAAGTCCTGCGCGATCTCGCGCACCAGGCGCTGGAAGGGCAGCTTGCGGATCAGCAGCTCCGTCGACTTCTGGTAGCGGCGGATCTCGCGCAGCGCCACCGTGCCGGGCCGGTAGCGGTGCGGCTTCTTGACGCCGCCCGTGGCCGGCGCGCTCTTGCGGGCCGCCTTGGTGGCCAGCTGCTTGCGGGGCGCCTTCCCGCCCGTCGACTTACGCGCCGTCTGCTTCGTGCGCGCCATCGCTCCCTGCTCACAAACCTTCCGAACAACAACAGCCCCTCACTGCAACAGTCGCTGCAACGCCTTTATTTATAGAGCCGCCTCGTCTCTGATTGGACCACAGGAACGCGCTCTCATTGGCTGCCGTGTCAATCCAGGCCGCCGCCCCTCGGACCCTGATGCCGGCCCGTGGCCTGGGGCGGGGCGGGTATTTCAGACACTGCGCTCGAATCCCCTCTGCTTCGACTCTGCCGAGTCTCCTGGGGTGATAACAAAAAAAGGAAAAACTTACTTCAGTGCCGTAGAGAGGTCTTTCTTATGTTAACGGGCACGTTATCCCGAAAGTCTCAAAGGAAAAACCGGCTGTTACCTCTAAATACAGGCGCTCAAAGAATCTAATAATGCAAGTTCGTAGCTATAACAAGTTGTACCAAGTATGTAACAAGCTGTAACAATCGAGATCATAATTTAATGTTTTCCACCTATTTTTCCCTAGTTTTTCTATTTTTTTCCTCTAGTTTTATTTTCACTAGGAAATTCCAAATGAGAGGCCTTACATATCACCAGGTAAAATCGTAACTTTGAGACTACTTAGGCAATTAACTTTTTTTTTATTTCCAGTGAAATTAAAAGCTTAAGCAATATGTTATCACTCTATTATTTAGTTTGTCTCTGCTCATTAAGTTTGTGACAAAATCAGGTTGTGACCGCGAGTATTTATCATCATTTTTGCAGGTGGCAAATGATCTCCAAAGGTTTTAGGTAAAGTTGAAATCCTGTTCTTTTCCCTTCAGTGATGAAGTACAACAAAAATACTTTAGAAGAGAGTCCCGGGCTGGAGTGTTCTTCCTATGCACAGTGCTCGCACACGTCTTCTATTGACTTTTTTTTTTTTTAAATGTGTTTCTAGGGTCATGATTTGGTTTTATTGTCCTGTCCCCTCCCAGCCCTTCCCTTCCCTCCAAAGCAATAAAAAATACGATCTCTACAAAATAATATTAGATTTACTCTGAGATTTCTTTTAGAAATAAACCATTTGACATGGAAAGGAAGTTTATAAAAATTAGAAATATAAAAAAAGTTTATCTCAGAGCAAGTTTCTTATTTTTCCCTAAGTAACTGGTTTACAAGTATGTACTTGAACAAAAATTTTGAAGTACAAACCACTAAATTGTACTTCAGATAGTTGTTTAAGTTGGGGAACACTGAAAAAAAAAGTAGGCTGTCAGTTTTGACTAAATATCACTCGAAGTGATTTTTATTGGGAGTGATTTTTATTGGGGTATGTTTTTAAGAGAATTTGGAACACACAAGGAAAAGTGCATCTTACACAGCAATGAGCACTTCCCAGTTAGCAGCAGTTACACATTACACACAGCAGGTGGTTAATCACAATGCATGTCAGTGGTATTCCATCGTTAGTATTAACAATCTTAGTAACATGGTTACTATGCACTTGGAGATTCAATTACCGTTTTTAATTTAACAAGTTAACAAGTTGACACAGCTCTTTTAAAGAGAAAAAGTGGGTGGCTCTTAAAAGAGCCTTTGGGTTCGTTTCGCGAGGGGATCCGGGAGCAAAAGGTTGGTTTTAACCGCCGAAGCCGTAGAGGGTGCGTCCCTGGCGCTTGAGGGCGTAGACCACGTCCATGGCCGTCACCGTCTTCCTCTTGGCGTGCTCGGTGTAGGTGACGGCGTCGCGGATGACGTTCTCCAGGAAGACCTTCAGCACGCCGCGCGTCTCCTCGTAGATGAGCCCCGAGATGCGCTTGACGCCGCCGCGCCGAGCCAGGCGGCGGATGGCCGGCTTGGTGATGCCCTGGATGTTGTCGCGCAGCACCTTGCGGTGGCGCTTGGCGCCGCCCTTGCCGAGCCCCTTCCCGCCTTTGCCTCTGCCGGACATGCTGCCCCTCGCTCCGCTGCAGCCGCTCTGTGGGGGGAATCGGCTCCGGCGCCTGTATATTGCTGTCGGTCCGACCTGGTTGAGGACTGCAGAGCGCAGGGGCGGAGCTTGGGTCTCGCTCCCGCCACTTCCTCTCTATCGCAGGACCCGCGAGCACAAATGTGCGGAATTTTTGCGAATTTCCCTTCCTCCCTCGCAGCGCAAGCGGTTGGATGTTTCTGCCACTTTTCGGTGCGTTCGATTTTTGTTTGTTTGTTTTAAATTTTTTTGGTTGTTTGTTTGGTTTTGGTTTCGATTTTTTGTTTTTGTTTTTTTTTTACAGCAAAGTCATCGTGTCTGTGTATAATAGTTTATATATATTTTTAAAAATAATTGATGTGTTGTGATCATTCAGAAGAAAAAGCTCACTCATAGAAAATTATTACAGTTATTGATTCACTTAAATTACGTTTTGATTTTTTCACTATAACTATTTTCAAAGATTCGTATGTCCTATGTCTTTCAATGTCACCAGTTTACATAGATTGTCCTGTGTGGCTTTACTGTTTATATAGTTACTGCACACGTTTTTTAACGGATAATCTTGCAGCAAAGTCTGTCCAATCATGTTTCAGAGAAATTCTACCCCTCCTCAATTTTTTTTCTCATCTTCATTTCCCATTCTCTGAAAGTTGTCTGAAGGTGAGTTTAGCAGTAAAGGTAAGCTAATCAAGAGTTTACATGTTTCAGTTTCATTTCTAAAAGATAAAACGATTTTTTAAACTAGTATTTTTACAGGATTTTCCACTGCTGTGGTGGCAAAGACAAGAATGTGGCTACTTTTAGAGACATTGAAAAATTAAATACATAAAATAAGGGTGGTCTAGTACTTGTGGGTTAGGTATTCAGCTCTGGATTTGCTTTCTTTAGCAGAGGAAAATATTCTGAGACTTTTCTGTTAAAAACAAGTATTTATCAAAAATCATTCAGTAGATTGTTTTCGACCTGAAAATTTTTGGAAAGGGTAAAAAAATTTCCAATATTGAGTGTTTGCTGCCCTGTCACGGACATTTTTTGTTTGTTTGTGTGGTTTTTTTTCCTACAAGCCTGGGGAGCTTTATGTAACATACACTTTCATAAAGATAGAACATAAGATTAAACAATAATCAACCTCTATCTTCACACAGATCACAGGTACAGATGTTGCATCTGTTAGCAGAGAAATTAGTGTTCCAGTGGCTCCTCACTGACAAATGAAAACAATGTGGTCTGCCATGTCATTCATGCACAGTTTCTTCAGCACAGGCCCAAAAGAAACCCAAATGGGGCAAGACAAATACCTAGACTCCAAAGGAGACATCCTAAAGTTTCAAAACAGAAACAAAGGCCCTGTTCCACAAGGAACATGATAGCATTCTAGACTGGGCAATGGAGGTACTTTATTTCCAGAGTACAGTGGGGATGCCAAAGCCAAGTTCATGGTGTTCTCTCTCCTAAGGTCAGTTCGCTCCTTTCACGGGGGGAATTTCAGGGACCATGACTGGACTGCTGCAGAAGACCAGGCTACCATGAGAAACTGGGCACTCCATAGTCACTTCCTCTGTCATTCCCAGGAGATTTTGACGGTAAGGTAGGTATACCCTGCACTGGTAAGGATACACTTGGTGTAACATTTCCAGCTGGCTTTTTCACTCTCTGTGTACACAAACAAATCCACGGGATGTTACGAACAGAGTAGTTTAGCACTGGCTGCTGCAGAGCTGCTTGAACCCACTCTGCCATGAAAATCCAGTTGTTCAATCTGCTCAATCAGACTTCAGGGATTCTGTATCATGGGCCTCTCCTGGGAGTTATTACTACTTGCAGATGCCTGCCATGAGGTTATTAGAAAATTCTGGGCTTCGCCAAATCACATACCTATGCATTTTTCATAAGCTGTCCACTCTGCAAAGCTGAATTTTTGTTTCTGCCTTTTTTTTTTAAAGGGAATGAAATTAAGTTAGAGCCTCATAGTATAACCCTCCCCCATAATGAGCTTCTTCTGCCCAAGAATCTGTGACTACATATAACATTCTCTGTCTCTTGCTGTCTCTCTCCTTTGCAAAATATCAGAACAATCTGGAAAAGGATTTTTTAAAAAAATAATAGATACATGCTTCTCCATAGCATTTCTTTAAACTCATGACAGAAATAGAACTAAAAAAGTGAAGCAAGTTTGGAGCTGAGTTCCCTCTCTTCTTCCCTTCCAGCTGATTCTAAAGTATACATCAAATATCATCTGGTCTGCGAGATCAGTTCAATGAATTAAACTGGAACTTGAGATCCATAGAATTATTTGCACTGTAAGGGACATTCAAGATCATATAGATTAACCTCTGTGTTGCATTAAAAATTTGGCAGAAAATTAACACCCTTGCATTCTATCTGGGCTTAATTTCTGATTACCATAAATTCAGCACTGTAAGCCTAGTAGTGTTCAATAAGAACTTTCATGAGCACAGATTCAGAAATAGTGCAGTTTACAATCCAACACTACAGATCTGGTTGCATTCAGTAAGAACTTGTGTAATCACAGATTCAAAAATAGTGCAGTTTGTTGAAGCAACAGAAATACCAATTTGAAATAGCTATTGCTAAATGCACAAGCTGTGATAGAGCTCCAACAAGAGCAGTAATATTGGGTTAACCTGGATAATAATAATAATAATAATAATAATAATAAAAACAATTGTGTGCAGAAGCTTAGCAAGAAGGCCTCCCCACTTAGGAGGAGAGAGAGGAGAGTAACCTGCTGATGGCCTCCAAGTTTTTTTTAGCTTCTTCCTCCTAAGTAGGTGAAATTTCTACCTTTCTTATATACAGCACATTCTTATCCCACTCTCCTCTTACGTGTGGTGTGATCTAGGTGGAGAGTTAAATAATATAACCATATATGTGGTAACACATACTTCATTGAGTTTATTAGCATATGTAGTAGTATGAGTTTTAATAGTTAAATGACTCCTTATCAGGCAAAAATTAGTTTTTTGGCCATGTGTCCCTCAAAGTTCAGATAATATGACTTTGTTCTATTCTGCGTTGTTTCTCAGAGCTAAAGCAGGACCATCCTGTCTCCACAAGAACTCCTCCTTCAATCAAATCATTCTCACTTGATGGCAGTGATACATACCTCCATGCACAAAGATGACACAGAAAGTACACAGCCTAGGCCATAGACAGTAAGATACAGCCCTTGCCTTGGTCCTTGGTCAACATCCCACACCCTTGTGCTGTGGGTAGGGACTTCTTTTCCTAGACCAAGTTTTCAGTGACTGATGTAAACAATAATCCTATTATTATTTTTCAACATTTCAAATTTTTCCCAACTCCTGGCAGCCCAATCCTGAACTCATTTAATGGGAAACTCTCCACTCACTGAGGTTTCACTGATGTCCCAGCAGAAGGCCTGTAGGAATGATGAACAAAACTCACATAGGAATAGAAATGCAAGAGATCACAAAAACCAATCTGCAAAGTGAAAATCAGAATAAAACACAACTCCAGATCTAGGAAGAATTGTTCAAAATTGTGTAGAGAGAGTGAATGGGAATCTTAGGAGGAGTCACACTGATAACTATTGTGCTTTGACAACCTGTTCTGGTGAAGAGGGATTTCAAATTCCCACAGAAAAAAAAGTGGTTGGTAACTCCCAGTGCCCAGCAGTAGATTGGGTGCATTGTGATCTAGACAGTAAAAAAGAAATTTGTGGAAGAAAAACTATGTTGTGTAACCTTGCTAAGTCAAAGCTGTCTGGTTGAAAAGTGGTTCTGAACCTGAACTGAAGCTGGCCCAAATCTGTACCAACATGCAAGCAGCAGAGAACAAGTCTGGTATTAATGCCATTCATATTGTACTCTTAATTTTCCAAACTCCAAACTGGTTGTCCCCAGGTTCTGTCCATACACTATAGCTGTCTCTCCACTCTGCTCCTTCTTTTTGAGAACCTGTAAACTTAGTTTTGAGATGCACACAACATACATTTCACAATTTATTCAGCCCAGGATACTATGAAAGACTTTTTCTCTGCTTTATTCATCCGTCATGGGTTAACCCCAGCCAGCAATTAAGCACCATGCAGCTGCTCACTCACTCACCTCTAGAGAGATGAGAAAAATGTAAAAACTTGTGATTGGAGATAAGGACAGTTTAATTGGTAAAGCAAAAGCCATGCACACAAGCAAAGCAAAACAAGGAATTAATTCCTCACTTCCCATTGTCAGGCAGGTGTTCTCCAGGCCAGCAGGGTTCCATGACATGTAATGGTGACTTGGGAAGATAAAGGCCATCACCCTGAACGCCCCCTTTCCTTTTGTTTCTCCCCACTTTATCTGCCTGAGCATGACACCATATGGTCTGGAATAACCCTCTGGTCAGTTGGGGTCAGCTGTCCTGGCTGTGTCCCCTCCCAACCTCTTGCGCACCCCCAGCCCCCTCACTGGTGGGGTGGTGCGAAAAGAAGAAAAGGCTTTGATGCTGAGTAAGCATTGCTCAGCAATATTGAAAACAAGCCTTTCTTATCAACACTGTTTCCAGCACAAATTTGAAACATCTTTGTGCACAAACTAACGTTGCTCAGCCTTTTATGCAAGACCAGCTTCCAATTTTCTCAATCAAATGCAGAAGGTTTTTTGGAAACTATTGGAGTACTTTCACTTGAAATAAAACTTCAGCTTTGGTGTTTTTAAGAAGTGAGCCTCTAAGAGAGACTTTTTAATAATTTTTCAAAGACATGCTGAGGCCATGCTGAATAAACTCTTACTCTCACATGACAACAATGACCATAAAAGATACAGATACACAAGAAGCACGGGAGTAACATAACTCACTAACAGAGAACAAGGATGTAAAGAAACACATATATGAAAATTACCTGGTTTTGTGGCAATCTGATAGACAATTGGGCTTTGTGGTGACTAATGCTGATGAAAAATTCTGTAACCCCATCATAGACCTGCTCACCGGTAACAAGTAAATTTATTATTCTGTGAATGACTAACTTAAACTGAACTCTTGGCAGGCTGCTAAC